ACGTTCCAAGGAGAATAGAAGCTTAATTCAGATAGGTTTCCACCTGGTGTGTGCAAAAGCTTTGAAACAGTGGTGAAAATGATCCACTAGAACCCAGATTTTGAATCCTGGTACTGCTGAGGTTCTTCAACTTGTTCAAGAATTGCAGAGCAAGTGAATGGATTATCTTTTTTAATTTTTTATTTATTTATACAATACCATAAGCAACAGGGTACTGTACAGAAATATAAATCAAAATCCTTGAGTTCTGGCGATCTCAATCTAAATTAGACACAATGCAGTCACATAGCAATGCATGAGAAGGAAAGAATCCAGCTTCTCTCTTAATTGGACAGCAAGAGAAACTCAAGGTTTATAACAAATAAAGATCAAATAGTTTTGTTTTGTTTTGTATGTATCTCCATAAATTCCAGTTCCCTTTTAGAATAAGAATAGGGAACTCATCCTGTCTTCCTTCAGACCATTTCTCAAGACCCATTTCTTCTGTGACATCAGCAAGTAATTAGCCAACTACTTAAGGATAGTTTGAGAGGGGCAATCAGAACTAGTTCGTGTATACTTGTTTGTTTATATTAAAAATATAAATGTATATAATATTTTGATCGTGTCCCTCCATACCCTTGCCATCTTCGATTGTAAATGCAGTAGCCAGGAATGGACTTCATAAGCATTTATACAGAACAATGGGACCCTGATCTTAGGTTTATAGATTTTGATGTCAGAAGAGACCATTATGATCTTCTAGTCTGACTTCCTGCATAACAGGCTCAAGAAGCTCACTCAGTAATTCCTGCATCTAACCCATAACTTCTGTTTAGCTATAACATCTGAGTGGGGCGTCTAAGCACTACTGCAATAGAAATGAGACCTAAAAATAGGGGAGACAGTGGAAGTCTCTGACTCTGAAGTAAAGGGTAGCAGCTTCACTAGAAGTAATGAGTTACAAGAAGTGATTTACAGACTGAGGACATAAATGGAATGTTGCATTCCCATTATTACAGGACAGCATTAAAAACAATGAATTTAGGCCAGGAGAAGACAAAAGTAGCATTGAAATAGAAAAAATGACTGTTTAAATTGCACGGTGGTGGTCCCTGTTATCGTGTCTCAATGATTTCCAGTTCAGACATGTTTAGTTTAAAGTAAAAAGATTTTCTGTCAGTCCTACAAACTCAACCTGACTTCCGATGGTCAAGGCAAGTTACTTCTTTCTTGTGTGTCCTCCCAAGTAACAACAGTTATGAAGGCCCAATTGTGCCCTTAATGACACCTGTGCAACCCCACAATCTCTAAATTATGCCCATAATGACACCTACGTATCCCCATTGCATTCTGTGGGTTTGCGGAGGTGTACACATTTAGTAATTATTCTGTTGTTGAGTCAAGAAGGAATAGCGTCTAGTTTGGTGTCTCTTAACTGTGTTGGCTTTTCATTGTTAGCAAATAAAAACAGAAATACTTAGATTTGTCAATAAAGTAAGTCAGTATGACTCTGAATCCACAAAAGATCCAATTTAGTGAGTAATATGATAGTGTTTTTCGGGGTGCTGGAACAATTTATGTAGTGGGGGGTGCTGAGAGCCATTGAACCAACCTGTAAACCCTGTATATGATGGAAACCACTTCAGGCTAGCACCCCCAGCATCCTACTTCCAACACCTGTGCTGTTTTTGCATCATCAATTTTCAGAGTAAAATCACGCTAAGCTAGAAGTTGGTGGCAGAGTATGGCTCAGAAGAGGAGGCAGTAGGCATTGACAGAGATGTGGGCTACAAGTACTGAGCTGTAGTCCAAAGCAGAATTCTACAGTGCTTTGAAGATGAGGAACGGAAATGGAATGTGATAGAGAAAAAGGCCCGAAAGACCTTGGAATAAGTGATCACAAGAGTCATCTGTAAAAGGTCAGAGAATCCAGGGTAACCATCTTAATTGTTCCATAATACTTCTTGTGGACATGGCTTCAGGGTCTAATGAGCCATTTAGTACTCTGTCCACTTATCTATCCAGACAAGACATTCTTCATCAGGACCTGTTAATAAACTTGTCAGTACAAAGAGAAGAAATTCTCTCTTAGGTGGTCCTTTGCTGACCTCAGTGAATGTCAATGCTGAAGTCAACCAGCAAAGACTGCTGTTCATCTTGGGGAGGAAAAAGGGGGCTGGAGTATTTGCTCCATTATTTTTTTTTCTCCTTACTTCAGAATCAGATTTTTTTTTTCCAGAAGAGTTTAGACAAATGCCTACACGCTGCGTCCCACAAGTATCTTGTCTTAGCCTACTGGAAGGCTCATGACAGGACGGTTTTCTTTCCTAGATGCTGTCCCACTATCAAGATTATTTGAAGTAGATCAGTTTGTAAGAATTAAAGATTTTATCTCCACCCTATTGATGTGCACTTAGATATTATGGAGATTGGCCCTATATATATACACCATAGATAGTTCAACTCAGAGACAAAATGTGGCTTCATGTCTTAGACTCTTGTTAGAATCTGTTCATGAGACCCTCAAGCCGATGAAGAAACTACATATAGGTGGCTAAACCCACATATCTCAAAAATGTGCCAGATTAAATGTACTCATTACAATAGCAACTGTTTCCTCTGTGTTGAGTTAAGAGATAATGTATTCCTAGGTCTATTTTTGCATACATTCTGTTATGTCCCAAGACTGCAACAAAGATAATTGAGCTTGTTGGTTTGTGGGTTATCCACTCTTGCTACTCTGCTATTCAACTGCTTCTTTCAACCCAGAGATCCAAGCTAGTGTAGAAAAAGAATACATTTTTATGTCCTGCAGATTTGTATTCTGCTGAGTCTTGTATGCTATTTTGCATCTACAAGTGTTAGATTTTTGTTGAGCCTGTTGATATCAACATTAATCACACAGCTGTAGAATTTATTGTAGATTAAATTATTCCAGCTAAATGTCTTTGTACAGTTTCTATTCTTGCTATGTTTTTGACCTCATCCTTGCAGTAGGATGATCTGATTACTTGTGACAGTTGAGCAAATATCATTCCTATTCAAAACAGTCCCTGCTATTTTGCATATACAGTGAGATTATATATTTAAAAGAACGTGCCACCCATTTTTCTCTGCAGTGTTTGAAAAGCTGAAATGTGAAAAAGCTGTTTTCATCCAGAGGAGACTCCAGGACTGAAATGTACTTAAACAATATATTCGTTAGCTGTAGATCTTGAGAGGGAGGGAGAATATACGTGTGCACACACACAAAGTTTAGAATGCAAACATGATTTGTTGCTGGCAGTTCTCGGAAAACTCTCAGGGAGATGATGATGATGAGCAAAAGTAATAGAATTATCATAACAATCAAAAATCACAGCTGTTGTTTTGAACTTGTAAATAGTTTTTATTTTTTCTTTTGGTATATGTTTGTAACTAACAAAAATAATAAGGTATGTGCTGTGTTACCATCCTGGGACAAACTTTTGTGCAGACAGTTTTAATTACATTTAAAAATTGCCTTTTCTAATCTAGGAGAACCTCCTGACCCTCTGGGAAATTAAAGCTCTTTCTGACAGCTCAATGGGTTGGTCCTCTATGTTGCCTCAGTGTTATCAATGAGCTCTTACTCTTTGAGCCTCCCAGACAATTCTCAATAACATTTGTTGCAGTATTACCTTCATATGTACACACAGACATACATATACATGCTCATCAATATGCAGAAAGTTCTGAAATTGTCAAATGTCATGGATATTTAAAAAAATAAGCAAATGGAAATCTTGGGATCTGTAACTTTCATGACAGCTGTAGGAGAAGTCCATTCTTATCAGATTGTAACAGTTTAAAGCAGACCCCATTTTGGGCCTACATTCTGGACGGGACAAATATGAACAGTCAGTCGATTGTGCAGAGTTAAGTTCAACTCCATTGCACATTCGATTCAGTGAACGCTTCTGAAGCAAGCTGTTGAGGACTTTCTAAGACCAGTGATATGTAGCAAGTTAAGGCATGGTCACCTTAGTTCCTGATTCTCCAGTGGCTAATTTGTTACCTCATAAAATAACAGGTAGCTGTTGACATAGATCTGGTCATTAAGGGCCAGTCCAGCTCCCACTGAAGTCAGTTGGAATTAGATGAGGTCCTAAGACTGCGATGCCAACCACCTTTATTATACTGGAGTACTATATTGACCCTCCTGTTGTCCTGCAGTTAGATAAACAGTGGGCAGGTGACTGGGGTTAATAATCTTTTAGAATTGAACGGAAGCAGAAAATTATCATGTATTATTATCGAATTGAATCTCACACCTTCATTATTTATTGCTAGTGGGAATCATGAGTAGAGTTGTTGGAAATATTAACAATGAAATCTGAAACCACACCAAATTAGCCTGGTTTCAGCATTTATTGAAACACAGAACTCAGTCTACATTTGTCACATTTTTAAATTGCATGAACTTGCTTCTCGCATCTAGAGTGATCCGTAGTTTTGCATGGAACCTGTGTCAAACTTAGCTTTATTGTGAAGTGTTATCATCTGAGGCTTTTAGATAAACAAAGACCTGTTGCTTTTACAGTTTCACTTTTGCAACTTAATGCAGCTGAGCATAGCTTTTTTGCCTGCAGTGAGGCCTAGTGTATGAAACAGTAATAGGGATTGCCTCTAACTGTGGGACACAATATACATATTAGTTCAGGAATTTTAAAGTGGCATGGAATCATTTGCATAAGTCAAATTTTCTGAGACGTTAGTTTCATTATTTCCAATTCTGATGTTGATATTATACAGTAATTGAAGTATGAGCACACAGGTTAGTCTCTAAGGTGCCACAAGTACTCCTGTTCTTTTTACAGGTTAGTGTGCAACCTAGGTAAATGTACTGTGAGCACTTAATAAAGCTCGGTTGGGACATATATATGATTTTAAAAAACAAGTTGGTAAGTGCAACCAATCGTGAGCAGCCTAGGCTGTGTGTTACAATTCTAAACGGTACAGTATATTTACATTTTATGTCTACTTTACTTTTCTTTTAGCTGCAAGAGAATCAGTCTGGTTAGAAAAAGAAGAGAGGGCACGGCAGCATTATGAAAAACACCTGGAGGAACGCAAAAAGAAGTTAGAAGAACAGAGGCTAAAAGAAGAGAAAAGGCGAGCTGCAGTAGAGGAAAAACGAAAGCAGAGAATAGAAGAGGACAAGGTAAGAGGGCATTCCATAGAGTCTTTCAGACAACTTGCTCTCCACTAGATGATGTTAACAACAAATTGACCAATATGTTATTTAAAAATTAGCAATAGGGTTGGAATGTGAGTCAAGGTTAATGTAGGGTACGTTGCAAAAGGAAGGCTTTTTTAACTTAACTTTTTTTTTTTAGCTGTGTCTGCACTGATACAACTTTTTATGGGTCCCTCTACAAAACTGATCTCCCCAGTCCAATAATATGTGTGTTTAAAATACATCTGTGGCAAGACACAGCAGAGCCAAAACTGACCTGAAAATCAAAATTTAAAACCCTGTAGAAAAATGAATTGTGGTACCTGTAGTATTGATAGTAGGTTGCTAGTGATTCAGTGTAACCATAGTTAAATACTAAGTGCCTAATTCAGAAACTGTCAGGAATGTGAGAGAGAGGGTGACCAGACAGCAAATGTGAAAAATCAGGATGGGGGTGGGGGGGGTAATAGGATCCTATATAAGAAAAAGACCCAAAAATCGGGACTGTCCCTATAAAATCGGGCCATCTGGTCACCCTAGTGAGAGAATACAGTAAGTGTAGATTTAATAATAAATTTGTTTCCCCTTAACTGCATGATGAATGAGCTGGTAGCTACTTGCTGTGTGACCCAGGGGCAAGTGAGCTCACCTCTCTGCTTTCCCTCCCACCTTTTGCTTGTCTTGTCCATGTAGAGTATGTCTACTGCAATCAGAGGTGTGATTGCAGCTCATAGGGTGTTCCTGGACTAGCTTTTATCTAGCTAGAATGACTAAAGATAGCAGAGAAGATGCGGCAGCACAGGCTGTACAAACGAGCCCAAGCCCTGGGTTGCTTGACAACACTGGGGTTCATGCCACTGCCTCTTCACTGCTATTTTTAGCTGCGTAATCTAGACTACGCTAGCAAAAGTATGCCTACCTGAGCGGCAATCAAAGCTCCGGTTGCAGCATAGACATCCACTTAGATTGTAAGAAATTCAGAACAGGGACTCTCTCATGTACAGTGCCTAGCACAAGAGGGCACCAGTTTCAGTTAGGAGCTACTGTTATGCAAATAATATGTGCATTGTTACTGGTCTCAAGTAGGCCTCCTATTTTCACAGTTACATTTTTGTAATTACCATAAAGCCCTGCTTTGACGTTAGCTCAGTTCTTTGAGTGGAATTCTCACGAAGCATTGCCTATCAATTTGCATTTGACTCCAAGATGACCAGTACATTTTGTCCAGGTGGAAGTCAGTGTGCAGTGTGATGCAAATATTCTTTAAAAACCCAGCAGCATCCAAACATATTCATACATTCTCCTGTTGTGCTGCAGGAACGACATGAAGCTGTTGTACGCCGTACAATCGAGAGGAGCCAGAAGCCCAAACAAAAGCAAAACAGGTGGTCCTGGGGAGGATCCATTCATAGAAGCAGCAGCATTAATAATACAGGTAAAGGGGGAGATCCAGTTTCTCATCCAAGCTCCCGGTCTGTATGATATACTTTGTTCCCATAAAGAAGAAGGTAATGCAGTGTTAATTAGTTCAAGTTCTTTATTCGTGATCCTAGCATTGTTTTGAAGATGGGCATGGTTTTTTTAACTCTCTGCTTGGCTAAGAGGGAGCAAGGGGAAATTCAGCTAAAGCTTAAACATCACTGAGGAATTGACTAACCCGGTAACTCCATCTATATCTAAAACTGCTCACTTCTGCTGCTTTGCTAGTGTTTGTGTGCACTTATGTGTGTGTGCATGCGCTGTGTCACTAATCAAATACAAGTTACTGTTTGGAAGTGTTAGGTACCATAGGACAGCAAGAGAAAATTATTTTAAGAATTTCTGGTGGAAATTATAAAATACTAATTTTAAGCTGAAAATACAAATAGGAAGGGAAAATGTTCTTTGAAACCTGCTGTGTTATATTTAGTACCTTAGTTGGCAAAACAGGAACACTGAAAGTTTGGTGGATATTGAGAAATTGGAAGTGGGCAAAACATAAAGTGTAATAAGTTATAGGTTGAAGATCTATCGCATAACTGTCTTCTCTAAATGAAACTGCATTTACTGATTAATAATGTGTATGTACCCTGTTACGGTACGCCTCAAACTGAAGAAGAGAATTCAGATATGTCCTTGATGGATTTTTGCACCAGAAAATGGTGGATATATATTAAAAATCTATTCTCCCTTTAATGCATACACTTTAAGTATTGCATTCTTTTACCTAGAGGGAAATAATGTGTTTACCAATCTGGTCACCAAAAAAGGACAAGAAAAAGTCAGATTACATCTATTTTATTGTACTGTAAAATTCAGTAAACAGTTATTTTTCCATAAAATGTTCCTCTTCTCGCTTTGCTTATCTTTGTATAACTCATTTACTTTTTATTTTTCTTTATTTTGAAAAATCATTTGTCTTGCATTCTGTCCCTAGGTTATTTTGTTGAATCATCATTCACCTTTCTCGATTTAGCAGGCCTGGAGCACCACTTCAGATCTCTGGGTGGTGCTAGGAAACCCGGTACATAAATCACTGTGGTTTGTTGATTCCTCCATGTGTAGCTAGCTCCTCAAGAAATAGGACTAATAACTACTTGATGACCTCTAAACCAACATCACTTAGAGACAGTGCATGCTTAACATCATACTACGTAGACTAGAACAGTTGTTAGCCCCCAGTGTTTTTTTTTAAGTACAGAGAAGTATTACTAGCTGACTTAAAGGATTTGGCACAATTCACTAAACTACTGTATACAGTGTACAGTATATTGTATCATGTTGGTTTGGGTTAAATTTTACAAAGAATATTAACCATTTAAACATGATCTTCTGGAATGCAATGAGATCTAATTTGAGTACATATTTTGGGTGCTATTTTGGCTTTGTTTTACCTTTTGCATACCATATGTGACAGATATTTATTTATATTTATTCTGCTTCGCTTCTCAGCAGCAAGTCAGTTGCATTGGCTGCAATTTTTGCTCAAATAATGTTTTTAAACATGTTACCACAACTCTAGCCAACAAATGGTGATTGGCCTATTCTATGTTGACAGGTTTTGTATGCAACTAACATTCACACAGAATTCTTCCAAGTGAATGGCATCCATTGAAGAATAGTCTTCACGGACTGCATGGATTTATGAGGGCTGGATGGCAGGACTGATTTGAGAGACTTTCTCGAGTAGATGCTCTTTCTGCTTGTGTTTCTCATCTCCAAAATGCTTCTTATGCTTTCTTTACACATCCTCTGTGGCAGCTACATGTGTACGCTGTTGGTGTAACGGCATATACTGTGTTCTCACATCACCAGAACAAGATATTAGGTCTTAGTTCTCCACTGCACCCATGCATAGAGATTGCTATTGGAGAGCTGCCAAGGAACATAGGAATTGCCATACTAGATCAGACTCAATGCCCATTAAGTCCAGTATCCTGTCTCCAATACTGACTAGCAACTTTTGGAGGAAGTCTCCAATACTGACTAGCAACTTTTGACCACCTTTGGAGGAAGGTGCAAGAAATCCCACAGTAGGCAGATGTGGGGTAATCTGCCCCCCATGAAGGTTTCATCCTATTCCCAGTGGTTAGAGTGTCTTAAACTCTGAAACGTGAGGTTCTATCTTTTCCAATAATCTTTCAGTTAGCACTAACGATTCTAACTCTGGATATTTTTGTTATCCATGTGAACATCCAGGCTCTCTTTGAAACTGCTGAGATTATATAAAGCAAAAGATAAAACCAATTGCTCTGTGACAGTGGATGAAAAATCAAATTAAAAAAAATCCTTTTCCCTTTCATCCCCAAGGCCTGTCCTCTATACTCCACCACTAGTATGAGGAACTCCTACATTAATGGTTAGTGGGGATTTTCATGCACAACCAGTTTGTCCACAACAACTATGTTTACATATATGTGAGTGGTAACATGCATATCGAATGTTGATGTACTCAGTATAATGAAAGCATTACTCAAGCGTAGATAATCTCTGAGAAAATGTCCTCTTCAGTATTGTCAAGGTTATTTAGACATATAGACCTTGATTCAGCAAAGCAATTAAGGACCTGTTAAACTCTCATTGACTTTGACTGGAAATCATTATGTACTAAGGCCTAGATTTTTAAAGGTATTTAGGCATTACTACATTCAGCATTGCAACACCTATCTGACTTTGGAGCCTAAGTCTCATTTTCAGAAGGGATTTAGGGCGAGTGAGGTAATATCTTTTATTGGAGCAATTTCTGTGAGAGAAACAAGCTGTCGAGCTACACAGAGCTCTTCTTCAGGTCCGTGTAGCTCGAAAGCTTCTCTCTCACCAACAGAAGTTGGCCCAATAAAAGATATTACCTCCCCCACCTTGTGTCTCTAGTATCCTGGAACTGACATGGCTACAACACTTCATTGACTGTCAATGGGATTTTGGTTCCTAAGTGCCTAAATCCCTTTTGAAAATGAGACCTAGGCTCCTGAATTTGTTAGGTATTGCAACACTGAGTGCAGCAGTGCCTAAATACCTTTAAAATCTAGGTCTAAGTGCTTTGCGGCCTAATGATGAACTCATAGGCACAGAGTTTCTAATCTGCCCGGGGGTGCTCCCCACATCTCTGCACAGGCCCCCACTTCATCCCTTCCACCCAAGGCCCTACCCCACCCTGCTTCTTCCCACCCCTGCTGCCACCCCCACCCCTTTCCTGCCTCTTCCTGCCCTGTCTCTTCCCGCCCAGTTCCGCCCCCGAGCGCGCTGTGGTCTCACTCCTCCCTACTTCCCCCCCCCAGCGTCTCCTGATTCCGCAAAACAGCTGATCCGTGGCAGGCAGTATGCGCTGGGACGGAGTTGGAGGCGCTGATTGGCAGGCTTATCACTGGGCAGGAAGCGCTGGGGGGAGGGATAGGCATTGATAGGGGGCTGCCAATCGGTGCTCAGCACCCGCCATATTTTTCCCGTGGGTGCTTCGGCCCCGGCGCATCCACGGACTTTGTGCCTATGGATGAACTTAAATACATGCTTAAAGTGCTTTGGTGAATTGGGGCCATAAGTCTAAGCAAGAGCGGAACTGAGTTTCTACTGTTCTTGTGAGTAATTGTCAGTTTCCCAAACAAAAATCTACCTTGGAAGAGATTTAATTTATGCACTCATTTTCCCAAAAAATATTTTGGAGCAGAGAATGCCTATACATTGCTTTTTTTGTCCTAGTTCTTCATTTTCTTCTGCTATTGCCAACCTCTTTGGATTGTGTACAATCACTTTTTCCGTACTCTTGAAATATCTATCACATTCTTAGCAGGATGGGAATGCTGATATTGCATCACTTGAACAGGAGGGTGATGCTGCATTCTGAAAGCCACAAAGCATAAAGAGAGGCAAAATAAAGCCCTTTGGTGTCCTATACAGAGCATGTGTATTACAAATATTTTTTAGTCTTCTACGTAGCATTTATTTTCTTTGTCTATTAAATCACATGCAGTTTAGGACTGACTAGCTTTGTCTTTGAACAGTGTAGGTGGAAAAATCACTTTCTCTGATATGGAGTATACTACCTCTACAGAACCCTTTGGCTTTTAGCCTTATCTTTGAATTCCTCTTGTGCCCACCCTCATTTGTCTTGTGTGCTAGCTTTCTTCCTCCTTTACTTTATCTTCTATTTTTATATGTTCTGGATATTGATCTCCTGGTTCATAACAGTACCCTGCTGAATATCATCTGTGATTCAAGTGATGCTAAGGACTTTCTTGCTTTATAACATGGTCTTGAAAAGATGGACCAAAGCATTAAATATGATACAGATTCCCTGTAATTTTCCATCTCATCTGAGCCTAGAGCAAAACCTATCTGCAAGTGCAGTGAAGTGAACATTAAAATCTCATCTTGTTTATTAGCTGCCCATTCAGATCTTCCATTTGAAACCTTGGATCACAGCTTGATTGATTGAAAAACATCCAGGATATTGTTTATTTACCTGCAATTTAAATTAAATAGTCTTGTGCCAAGTCTTTAAGTCATCTGTAAAATGTCCACTGAGAAGTCCTTTCTATTTTTAAAGTTTTAGTGATAGAGCAGAAATTCTCTAGTCCTATATTCTCCTCCCGTTAGTGTGCTAGGAAGTTGCATTATTGCATGTGGGCTGTCAATTAGCATTATCTCCATTTGTTTTAGATCCAGACAGGCGGTCTGTTTCAACAATGAACCTCTCGAAACATGTTGATCCAGTCATTAACAAGCGGCTCTCCTCCTCATCTGCAACATTACTAAATTCTCCAGACAGAGGTACAGTTGAAAGAAAGAGAGAGAGAGAAAAGTGCTCTTTATTGATTCATTGTTTTTAACAATCTCTGCAGATACAGTAAGCATTTGTAGTCATTTTCTGTACTCTATTTAAAGAGGAATGAAAAGACTTCAAATGGTTGAAAGAAGTAAATGAACATTCTCTTTGCAAGAAGAACTATATTTTTAAAAGATCAGAACTTGCCTGAACGATTTCATTTAGCAAGTGATAAAAGCAGTGCTTCTGTCAGGTTTTTAGTAAATGAGTGACAGCTACAGAAACAACACATCTCTCCATAGCGCATGTAACCATTTTATTTTTATACATTTATTTACGTTGAGTCATGCTGCCCTTTTTGCTTTTCATTTGTACTTTGGTTCCAATTCTTGAACTTCTGGAAACATGTTTCACAAAGCTTTTAAGAAGTTAGTACATTCATGTTGCTGATTTATTTTAAATTTAACTAAGCAGTTAGATATGACTCATACAATGTCTGTTTATTGATTTTCTATGTTCCTTTAGCTTTAGAAGGTTGCTCTGTTGGAAGAAATGCCTTGATATTTTCCGATCTGCAAACAAGATTAACAATCAGACTTTTAATCAACAGCACAACATGCAATATTAAATTGTGAGAATTTATAAGACAAAGTTCATCTTAAATGAGTTTTATAAAATAAGTTACTTTGATAACTTCATGTGAAAAGAAATGGACCAAGCTTTTTGACAAAATGTTCTATAAGGGATCATTTCCCTTTCCCAGCAAAGGACAAAAGGGACGTCCTGCATTTCATCCCAAATTTGAATTGTTGTATATAAGCGCAGAATATATATATAAAATATAGAGATATTTTAAAGAATACAGTTTTAGTTATATCGTGAAACTGATTTGGAAAGCCTCATTATCTTTATCTCTTTAACAAAATATCCTGCAATGAGTGCATATTTGTACGCATGATTCTGTATATAACGTCTGTTTGTTTCTATATGTTTAATACTACACACCATATTGATAAGATTTGAGGGCAATAGCAGTAAACTCTTTCCTGTTGGTTAAAATAATTGCTGAGGTTGCTGATTTGGGGGGAAGTATGTCATAGTTTTAGGAAATTATGTAACTCCAGAACAATAGTTTCTTCCAACAGCGATTGAAACCCGGTCAATATTAATTATCCTTTCAGATTTTTTGCATTTACTGTTGCCGTTCTTTACGAGTGATGGCTCTGTTTTGTAGGGTGTTGTTGAGGGATTATGACAAAACAGTGGCAGTAGTGGAATGTGCATGATGATTATGTGGAATATTGCCCACTGCGCCTGTGGTCACAACCGATTGTATGGGTTTGTGGATAATGGAGCATATTCATTTCAGTGATCTATCTACTTTTCGACTCGGTCTTAATGTTTTAAAAAGATTGAAAAGGCTAATACATTCTTTTCGGTGGTGATTTTATATATAGTGCCACTGACAGGCTGGATAACGAGGCTACAGGACTGTGCAGAGATGTAGTACTTTTGCAAAAGTTAGGACTAAGCTATATTATCCTCATTAATAAATTATTAAAATAAAGGAAACAAGACTCTTCAAAAAGTGAGTTTTCACAGGACTATCCAGACTTCTGATTGAGGTTTGTACAGTCCTTTGAGAATACAAAGAATTGTACGTAGTAGTTGCCATAACCCCCTCCCCACAGCATTTACCAACAGCTCCCACCTGCTGTTATCTCAGATGTGACTTTCCTGTGCTAAGTATAAGGCAATACTGCTGTATCTCTGATACCACTGTGTGTTGTTGGCAAGCTGCTGGTAAATGTTGACTTTCCATTCGGAACCAGTACAAGTGCCAAGTATTACTGTTACTTCAGAATTTTCTTAAGGCACATGGTTTTTAGGCCTCATATCTATTTCTCAATGAACCTGTGATCAGCAGGTGCCTTTTATAAATGTGTTTGTGTGGTGTTGGGTGCCCTATAGTATACAGTACATTCAGGGCCAGCTTTAGGGCGATTCAGCCAATTCCCCAGAATCGGGCCCCGTGCCCCTTAAGAGGGCCCCGCAACGTCCCGAAGGAGCTGCCACCTAAGTCTCACCACTGTCTTCGGCTGCAGCTCAATCACTGCCGCGGAGGAAGGTCCCGCCGCAGAAGTGCCGCCGAAGGCACCGGCTGCCAATTGAGCTGCCGCCGAAGTCCCGGCATTGTCGGCTGCGGCAGCTCAATCGTTGCCACTGTCTTCGGCGGCATTTCGGTGGAGGGTCCTTCCTCCGCGGCAGCGATTGAGCTGCCGCCGAAGACAGCGGCGGGACTTCAGCGGCAGCTCCTTTGAATCGGGCCCCACGGTGCTTAAAGCCGGCCCTGAGTACATTACCCCAGTGTGGAGACATTTCACCTAATAAATCCTCCAGGCAAGAAGGTGTAGTGCTTCAGGGCTCAGGTGTGAATACTAGACTCCTTGGAATCACAGATTCAAATCTCTTCAGGGCTGACAAAGCCTTTCATCCTATCAAGCTAGTCTAATAAGTACCATCCCATACAGTTTATTGCATAGGGTCTTCTAGCTAAAACCCTAAACAGTGAGGCAGTGTTTGCTCTGCCTGAACACTAAAAGAGCCATAGCTTAGCCCTTATGCCCTTTGCCAACACTTACAGATGTGCTCAGAGGACAGGGCAAACTGGCATCCTGTATAAGTCTCTTTAAATTTGATTTTGAAAAAAGTTAGTGAATGTTCCACTAATGCCTGCTAGCAGTATGCAGGGCATTGGCTCCACCCTAACCTAGCTGAGCCCCTAACTTTAGAGTCACGGAGTGGCCGCTCCAGTTAGCTCTTAAGAAAGGCTCTTAAAAGAACTGTGCTGTGCAAGAGAAAGAAGAGGCTCCTTCATCATCTTCCTCAGTGCACCCAGGCAGATTTTGCCCTTATCCTAAGCATGATGCCTGGAACTGGAGTATGATGAGCTTATCGTAGGTGGCTTATATCCGCCACCAAGGACATGACTTCTGTTACGTAGTATCTTTTAAATGGTTGAAGAACAGGGGACTTTTCAGTTCATACTAAGAAAAAGGTTTTCATTAATGGGCATTTAACTTTGCCCATAAGACTTTTTTAAATAATGTATTCATTCCCTTTCAAGTTCAGCATTATTGTGCAGCTTTTTATTACAGTTTTAAAACTAGTCAGGCAGCTAAAATGGGTTTCAAACTGTACTTTCTTGTTTGTTATAAAGGTTCAGCTGTTTAAATCCCTGCAACTAAACATGAATAATTAACATAATTCAAACAAGGGAGTCGATGCAAGAGACATTTAAGAAAATTAGATAGTGTTCTTCAAGGAAAACGTCATTAACTGGATGTTATTTTAGGTTTTGTAGAAGTTACACATTCTTTGCTTTGCAAGGCCATCCTCTCTGAAATTGTTTTTCTTCAAAATAAAAAGAACCCAACATTTATAGAGTGGCTTCGTTTAAATCAAGGTGATTTAAAACCACCAAGTGGAAAACCTCAATTTAAATAATTAATTTTAATCAACTTTTCCATTTGCACTTCAGTTATTTTCTAAAGAAAGGTGCATTCTCATTGGTTGATATAACCATTAAAATATGTTGATTTACAAGTAACAGAGTCTTTAAACTAAATTTGATACCAGAGATGCTTAAGAAAATTGCATCTTTTTTGCTACCTAGGAGGGTACACTAGAACTGTATACATTTATTTAAGCAATTATGTAGCTTAATAGTTTGATTCTTATTAATTGTACATTTTTGGTATGTTAGAAAATGGTGAATGATAAATTTACTGTATAATTAATTTTTGCATGATTTGTGTCAAGCTGCATTAGGATATTAACTGGAATTACATTAAACACACAAAACAGCATATCACATTTATTTTTATTAAAACAACCTTACATGTTTTGGAAACATAAACTTCTCTAATCAGAACATGTTTCCTATTTACAACTAAATGATTTATTAAACTGAGGGATTAACTAATTGTTTCAGGTCAGCCTGGGAAAATTTTCAAATGTGCCTAAGTGAAAGTGACTGGAGCTTAAGTTCCAACTTGCCTGACTCTCTTGAAAATGAGAAAACAGTCTCCCAAGTCACTTAGGGTGACCTATTGTGCCATATTTATAAAGCTTAATCTCAATAATTAGATGTTTTCTCCCTGATTCAGACTTTGTATGTAGAAAAGCAGACTTTAACTCAAAGTTTTTGATAGAGACTCACAGATTCAGCATATTTATATTTGATTTAAATGATTTAAAAGATTATAAGTTTAGGCCTTAACATATTTTTTATCAAGTTCAGATTTCATTTTAAATGGGTTTATTTTTTAAATGAAAAACATTATAATTTAAATAAAATAAAAAAATCATTTAATCAAAACATCTGATTTAAATTTAAAAATCCCATGCTTTAATTTTTTTTAATAGATTTTGATCCACTCTGAACATGTATTTGTCTTAAAAATCATGAGATGTAAAAAAATCTCATGATGCTGTGAGGCCTGACGTCTGCTTTTTTGAACGTTTGGGGTTGGCAGTACAGGTCATCAGTTTTTCAATAAAAGAAGTGGAGGAATTGGAAAGATTTATGCTTTCGAACTTCATCTTGGATAGACCCATGAAGAGGCCTCTCTTCTTGTTTTCTTTGCCCCCCAAATAATTGTTTTGAAAGTCTTGAAATAAAAAGTTGCTTATGCTTTACGCAAGAGGTGGCTAACCTTTGACACTCCCTCCCCCCCCCCCCCCGACGGATGCATTGGCAACTTGCCAGGAGACCAAAGACCACATCTGGTTTTGTATAAAATTGAGTTGATTACATCTACCCTCTCTTCTAATTTGGAGCTGCAACCTGTGTAGATTACAGGTCTGAACAGTTAAAATGCCTTCTTAGTGTATGCGCAAGGTGCCTCACGTGACGTGTGACCAGGATTCATAACTGAATTTGGTCCGCTGGTTGGATCATTAGCTTCCCCAGCTTGGCCCGGGTACTGATCAGGAGTACACTGCAATGTGAACGCTGATCCATGCCCCTGCGGTATTGTACTGCATACTGGGACCTGTAGTATCCAGGACCACATCTCTGCATTAAAGAAGGTGGCTGCAGGCCTCTTTTTGCAGCTCCATGAGCCACGTTAGGCCCAGAGGCCACAGTTTAGTTGGCCGCTCCAGCTAAACTTTTTACCCTAATGGCTTTCATAGAAGCTATGAATATAAATAATTTCAATATGAGATTAACCTAGGCTACAAAATTCCGGAGAGTTTTAGTGCGGGTTTCTGGTTTACACCCATCAGAGAGATTTGGAGGAGGTTTCAGAACCAAGGTCCAATTTTTAAATATTCACACTATTTAAATAGAAAAAAGTGCCAATCTAGTTTGCTCAGCCTTTTTTAATGCTGTCAGAAGCTCAGTTTATGTTAAATGGTATCTTGAGACTTAATTTATCTAGAGCAGTGGTTCCCAAACTTGTTCTGCCGCTTGTGCAGGGAAAGCCCCTGGCAGGCCGGGCTGGTTTGTTTACCTGCCGCATCCGCCGGTTCGGCCGATCGCGGCTCCCAGTGGCCGCAGTTCGCTGCTCCAGACCAATGGGAGCTGCTGGAAGTGACATGGGCTGAGGGACGTATTGGCTGCTGTTTCCAGCAGCGATTGGCCGAACTTACGGACGTGGCAGGTAAACACACCGGCCTGGCCCACCAGGGGCTTTCCCTGCACAAGCAGTGGAACAAGTTTGGGAACTGCTGATCTAGAGAAACTCTGCAAAGCACTGCCAAAAATGGTTGGTTCACTTCTTCCTAGTCCCTACTTGTGATCAGGTTAAAATTACTCCTCTCTTAAAACTTCATCACAAAGATGTTAATTAAAGGGTAGCATGGCGGTAGATTGCAAATATTCTTCCTTTCTGCTTGTTATGGTGTTGAAAGTTCATCGTTGTTGTTTGCCTTCCAAGCCGGTTCATTGTCGCTAATTACCCTGTAAATGGAGGGAACTACTGTTTTTTTTGGGGGGGGGGGGGTCCTATGGTGGTACAGACAGTGTTTACTTGACTTATAATTTTGGTGGTAAACACAAATATTTGGTTCCTTTGTGCAGAAACGTGTTCTGAAATGCATTTCGGGGAGGGGAGTCTGTATTCTCTGATTGATTAAGGGATGAGAGAGTTCTACATGCAGCTCCCCTATGCAGTGATGGGAGAATAAATCTGTGGGTCTCACATACTCAAAAGACTTTGATTACAACATGGCCTCATGAGTGAGTGGGCATGTTATGTGTTTTTATTTGTCAATATGTATGTAGCAGGGCTGCCTTACCTGGTCTGGGCTCAGGCTAGCTACTGTCTCAGTTCCATGGGCCCATCCCTTCCCCAGCATCTCCACCATGTGCAAGCGTGCTGGCCTGTCTCCCCAGCCCAGGGAGGACTGATGCTCTGTTGCAAATCTTTCAAGCCCTTCCTGCAGGACACAGTTTTTGTAAATTCAAACCAAAGTCAACAAAGTACCACAAAACTCCCTACCAAAGCAGGCTGTCAGGATCCAGAGACCTTTTACTCTGCTCCATTACTACCCTACAGGAGCCAACCTCCTCCCCACAGCCCCATCAACTGAATCTTCTCAGCCTTTTTATTGGGAACACCTGAGCCCTTCTCGGATGGGTCTGATAATGAAACAGGGCTGGCTAGTCCCAGACACCCTGGCCTATAATGGGGCAGACCACTTTGTTACAGTTTGTGTGCGCTTTTCACTATGGATTCTTAAGTCCCAATCCTACAAAAGCTTACCACTGAGTGTAATGTTTGTGTGTGTAGCCCTGTTGAGATCAACAGGACTACACATGGTAGTAGTAAGTACTATACTTGAAAGTAAGTGCTCATCAGGAGTAGGTCCCGCTTTTGTGTCTAGTACTTGCTCTTCTGACCACGTGAGTGCCCTTTGCGTTGACATAATAGTCTGTGGGATTTTGCTCAGATTTAATTATGGTGACAATATTGCTTTAGCCTCAACTTTTAAACTCCCTCAAACTTGTACTTTGCTAGCATGCAGTTAATCAAACTCAATTTCTAAAGATTAAGAGACAGTGAACAAATCCCTGGTCTTGCATAGTAGCTAAAATAATGGACACACAGAACATACAGGCTCAGAGGGGAAACAAAATGATTTTCTGCTCTTCAGTTTAATAATTATGTTCTATGGTTTATTCCTCATTGTTGAAATGCAAGCTTAATGATACCTAGTGTACGTTAATGGAGACCTCTTTAGAGTATTTTGTACTTTGTGTAATCTGTGCAAGCCTCGAAATAGTTCCATTAATCGAAAAGAGCTTTTGCAGTAGTTCATTATGTAAGGACACTTATGCAAACAGCCTGCTGTTTTTGTGAGACCTATATTTCTATAGTGGTGCCACTTTTGTGTTAGCAGAATTCAGGAGAGCAGCTTTGGGTACAAAAAATCAGTGCTTGAGGGCAGCTGAGGAAATTAAACTCTCGTAGGATAATACTTATTAAGATCAGCCCCTCTTTTCATGGGACCCGGAGCAAAGTGGATTAAGAGTAGTTCAGGGTTTTAATTAATAATGTTGACCCTCTACATTTAAAAAAATACCTCAGTCTCCAGTGTAAGTCTGGCAATTGGTTACCATTTTAGAGACCTGGCCTAATGAATTCAAGTTGCAATCTTGCTTGCTACCCCTAAAACCAAATTATGGTGAATGGATGTTTTAGATGCAATAAAACCTGACATTACTTGCAGTGTTAAGATGATTATGATTTATTGATCAGTAGTCTCCAATGTATATGTAATAACTTCTGATATGCCCATCACTGCAGTATCTGGTCTCTGTATACATAATTAAGGGAAACGTGGTCCCATTTGAGAGTGGACCAAAGAGATTTTTGAGAAATGCTAGGGGCCTAACCAGAAAATCCTTTTGTAAGGATTATGACGGTATTCTCTCTGTTCTAGCTAGCAAACGACACATTTTTTCTAATATGATTGACAGGCTTCCCTCTTTTTTTAATGTATATGTAATTGCTCATGTCTAGAAAAGTACGGGAACAAAAAACACGTGTTAAAATCTATGTACAGTAGTTGGGGATAGGAACAAAATATTAGGACTTGGTAGCAGTTTAGCATATTATGTCAGCAAAATAACAAAAAAGAAGTGCAAAGAGAGTAAATGTTTAAAATTTACAGTTAGAAGCAGTAAAGTGGGTTATGACTAAAATATACAAGTGACCTATGTGCTCTTAATATCTGAATCATAATTTGAAGATGCCCCTCTATGGCTGGGTGCAGTATTTTGAGGCGTCTTCTGCAATGTATGGTGATTTGTAGAACGTGTCTGATCTAACCTCTTGCTTCTATGGTGCATATTCAGCTCGCCGTCTAAATCTCAGTGCATTGGAGAAGAGCATTGTTAGCAGACTGCTGATGCCCACACATTCATTCCTGGCCAGAAGTAAAAGCACAGCTGCCTTGTCTGGAGATTCAGGTAAACCTAAAAGGGTGAACGCCTAATGTTTTATCACACCTGTTCCTTTCAAAAATTCTTTTATTTATTTACGTTTCTCCAGAAGCACTCCAAGTTTGTATAGAGTGAGCTAGAATGGCTCCTACAAAAGCATAGAAGTTCTCGGTATGCCTTTCTTTTTCTCTCCCTCTCTCTTTATCGTAATCTATCTCTAGTATCTTTACCAGTGCAACAAAGAAAAGGCCCATAGGGCAGCAAGCAGCACATCATAGTCCACTATAGTATGAGGACCCAATGCAGCAAACACGATAGCCCGGTGTATGTTGCTAGAGCTGCTATATACTGCTCCTGCTACAAAAAAGGAATTCTGTACCATTGTATTTATTTTCCAGTGTAGAGCAGATTACCCATTTAAAAAAAAATCTGGTAGACTGAATATATGACACGAGTGACTTGATTTTTTCAAACTATTTGCTTTATTTTGTGTTTTAAAGAAAGGAAGGAAGACTCAATTAACTCTTCTATTGTGAAGTTATTATTCATCAAGAAATTCTGCTGGTTATAGTTAACTTGTTTTCTAATGTTAAATTGTTGTTCTACTTCTCAAGTTAGGTCCCCCGTTTCAGTGATCTACTAGCATGAGTAAAGTTAAGCACATGTGTAAGTGTTTGCAGAAGTGGGACTTTGTTGTTAAAAAGGTCTCCACCAACCACAAAACAACTCTTTGCTATTCCACTGAGGGACAGAAAATAACACACAGAATATGGTAATGTCTTTCTGAGGTAGCTTGAAAACTATTAAAAACTAAGGAGAATGTCACAGGCATGTTTAAAACAGGGTTGTGATGTATTACGATGGAAAAGAAGTAGGTCATTCTCTGATGTATTATAGGGAAGAAGTAGTTGCACTGTTTATAGATTGTAGAAATATTTCATGACCACGCTATGGGATTTTAATTCATTGGCAACATACTGTTGCACCTGTTGAACGTTTTAAGTTCAGACAGGTTTTCTTAGCCCTCTCCTATAAACATGCCTTTATTTGAAATAAAGGATATTGAAGGTAAGGGGGAATACCGGTTTCGCAAGACTATTTTTCAAAGATGCTTTAACTGAAGAATTCTCATTTTTAATTAGGCTGCAGTATACAGTTCCATGGGGATAGCTTTGCGGGGGAGGAGGGAAAGGTGAACAGCTAGCCAATGTGGGCCTTTTCCAGGGGCATCATGTCTTTAACAGCACAGACTGGTAAAATTAGTACTTAATATCATGAAATTCTGTGTAGCAGGTAGGAAACTGGAAATGCAGCTAGTGGTTACAGTGCTAATAGTTGAGAAAGTAAGACTCTTAACTTTGCAAGCAATTACTCTACTAAAGCAGATGTGAAAAATTTTCAGTCTCATGCTAAGTAATAAATTGTAAGCTGAATTGGAATATTGGCAGATATTTTAAGCAACATGAGTGGTTAATACACCAGGGTATTCAGGGTAGTTCTCTCTGTGCTAATTGTAACTGTACCACCCTTTTTTTTTTTTTTAAATCTGTATGCCCATTGTTTTCCAATTTTGCCCAATTATAGCAATAACTGCATTTTCTGAGTGCAGGGCATTTCCAGGAGATTAATGATCATCTGGTGTTAATGGCCCATGACTGTGCCCTGAGCCATAAACTCATCCCAGCCTGTCATTAATCCCCAGGAAATTACCCTGCTCCTTCATCATTATTACTTACAGATGAACTTCAGAGCAAAAATTAAAATCAAGTTAAATACGGATTTCTCTTACTAAGTAAGCTATTGAGAACACTGAGTACAGAAGTAAGTTTTAACTAATCCGCTAAAAAAATTTCTATCAAATGCTCTTAGTACATCTTGGTTCACTGAAGATACCCCAAAAAGCATCATTCAGTTCCATCACAAATAAAATGAAGTGCTCGACTTCTAATATTTATGATGTCACTGTCCAGGATAGCTTCAGAGAATCAGGAAGTTCCAAGAGGATTGATTCAGAGAGGGAATATATATATATTTTTTAAAAGTTAGTTAAAACTTATTTCTGTGCTGATGCCCCCTGTACTTCATGAGGGGACATTCAGCAAAGAAATTTGTGTAAAACTCCATTTCATGCTTGCTCTGCAGTTCACTTTCTGGTGATGGTCTCATTTTAATATTTCATTAAACATGCTCATCTTAACGGATAAAGCAAACATGTGCCCTTCCATAGCTTTTAAGTGAGGTTAATTTCTTTATTAATGAAGTTCATTTAGTCTTCATTCCAGAAAAAGGTGTATAACTAGCTCTGCTACATCAACGGACCTTTATTAGAACAGCAGTGTGCATTTTTGTGGAAATATAATGTGCATGGAAATACAATCAATCTCTCTCTCTCTGAGAGAGAGAAACTGGGACAGATTTTTCCTAGGGAAGATGAGGCTACTGGTTTATTTATAAATAATGTAACGGAAAAGGTACTGTTGAGAACCTGTGCAGTCTGTGAACTAAACCACACTGCCAAGAGAATAAGAACAGAACAAGGTCTGAGACTACTCTCTGGCCAGCATTTCTGATTGGTACAAGAAGTACTTTTTTGATCCACTTTGCACCACTAAAATTCTCTTTGCATGTGTACTCTAAACATCACAAACCTAATAATCTATCATTTCCACGTAATAGACTTTGTTCTCTACAAACAGCTAAGGAGAGTTGCTATCCCAGATACTGATTTCATCATAATCAACTTGGCAGAAACAACTAGTGGTTATAATATGCTTATTATAATGGGGAAAATAATTTAGTTGTGGATTATTAGAAATTTCTTTAGACTGTCTATCTTAAAGTATATTGATAATATTAGCCGTTTTTGAATGAGGAATCCAGACACAAATTTCTTACAGAAGGAACTTTTAAAGTGCAGTGGCTACTACAAATTGCAGACAACATGTATATTTTATGCTATTCATAAATTTTTTGCAGTGTTGATATTTTTATGTACTATGGCAGGGATGGCCAAACCGTGGCTCGCAAGCCGTATATGGCTTTTTTACAGTTAGTGAGGCTCGTGGCGCTCCCCTCACACCTCCCATTCTCCACCTACCAGATTGGGGAGGGGGAATTTGGGGCTTCTGCCCTGCAGTGGGGTGGTGGGACTCAGGGATTCTGCCAGAGATGACTGGTGCCTGCTGATGGGGGGAGGAGGGGGAGAGACACAATTTAAAGGTTTGTCCCCCCCAAAAGCTTGAATCCCGCCCCCTCCCTATCCTCAGCAGCATCCCCTCCCTCCCCCTCCCCCGCAGCTCCCAGGTCTTAGCACCGCATGGAGAGGCCATGGCAAACAGCTGGGAGCTGCAGAGAGGGGCTGCAGCAGCAAAAGCAATGGCTCTCCATACAGCTCTCAGCTGTTTGCCGCTGCCTCTCCCCACGGCTGCAGCTCCCAACTTGCTTGTTCCAGCAGCTGCCATGCAGGGAGGGGGGCCCGGCGGCACCATGTGACTGAGCAGAGCCAGCAAACTCTGGTAAAAATCGGGGGGGAGGAATGTGACTCCATGTGGCCCCCTCCCCGGCATTGCTTCTGGCTTCTGCCCAGCAGGGATGGGGGATGTCTCAAGGCTTCAGCCCTCCGGGGCACACCTGCCAGGGCTCGGGGTTTCAGCAGGAGCAGGGCTGAAGCCCCGAGCCCTGGCAGGCACACCCAGCCCTTGAACTTCTGAAGATTGTCATCTGCGGCTCGGTGGGTCAGTAAGTTAGGCCACCCCTGTACTATGGTATATCCATTTTAATGATAGCCTAAAAATATACATGCATTTTATGCTACATATCTGATTGAATGGTACAGCGTATTCTGGGTAGGGTAGAAGAAGCGTGCATTTATTCGGTGTCTGTTTATTTCTGAAATCTTGTCAATTTCACCAAGAGATCACAAGTTCACAAGTTATCCTTAACGCATGATGTGACTTTGTCAGTTTGACATGAAGGAATGTAATTATTTTGCTAGACTGCTGAACTATATTCCCTGTATAGATGAAGAAGTGTTTTGGTCTTTGTATGTCTCTCTGTCTTTCAACCTCCCCTTCCTGCCCCAACTAGTTCCTGAAAACCTAATTGTTTATCAGATCTTTGCCTGATTTTTTTTTTCAGATTAAAATGCATGTCAATGAATGTACTAAGCTAATCAATTTCAGATCAGTAATTTTGTGTTTGTTGCTTTATCAGAACCATCACTTTTTAAAATAAAAGGCAGTATCACTGTCTGATGTCCATTTGTTTTTGAACACCTTATCATCTTTGATAAATCTGAAAATTGCTAACATCTGGGATAATTTTTAACTTTCAGTTTAAAAGGTATATGAATTTTGATTAGAAATATACCAGTAGATATTTGGGGCTAAATGAATTAGTATCAAGTGATGCTTCTGGTTTAACTTCTAAAAATGTTCTTTATGTATTAATACCTTCTTCCTTTTCTCTCTCTGTCTCATTCTCTCTCGTTCCTGTTTCCTGCTGTTGGCTTTCCTTTGTCACTCCTCCAATGCTGTTCTGTTTTAAAAAAAAAAAAAAAATAGAAAACAACCCACACGTAGTTATCCCCATTTGTCCTCGTTCAGCATCTTGCAGCCCCATCAGCCCTCTGTCCTACAAGGCCATGAACTGTAGAAATCCAGCAGACCGACCAAAATTCTTTGACACAACAACTGGACGTAGGAGGACCACACACTCAGCAGGGGTAAGCATGCTAGTTGTATGTAGTCTAGCAGCTGTAGCAGAACCATGTGACATGAATACACATTAGAACATATGAAAAAAAGATGTGGATGGTTTAGGAGAATGTTAATGGAGTCTTTCACTTCTGGGTTACCAGTTAACATCATGCTAGTTGGTAACAATTATTTAACAATAGCTTTGTGGCTTTTGTAAATTCAGTTGTTTTCAGTTCAGTTTCCTAAAGGGCAAACATCAAACTCCCAATCAGCACCACTGCTATTGACATTCTTTTTGTGTTGTATGCAGTGTTATTGTAGCCGTGTTGGTCCCAAGATATTAGAGTGACTATGTGAGTGAGGTAATATCTTTTACTGGACCAACTTGTGCTGATGAGAGAGACAAGCTTTCAAGCTACACAGAGTTCGCACTAACAGAAGTTGGTCCAATAAAAGATATTACCTCATCCACCTTCTCTCTCTAATGCTTCTTGAGGGTAGTCTTGGCTAAGAGTAATACAAGACATCAAGACTGTAAACTACTCTTTTAGCCTTTGAGATGGTCCCTTCAGATCATGGTTACGGCACATTACCAGGACAGTGAAGCTTTAACTGCTGCTGCCCTTTGCTAAATTTGTCATGTGAAAAGAGTATTTCAGTCTCCAAGGTTATCAGTCTGGCACTTTTGATTGGGTTTTTTCATTATATTTTTTAATTAAAAAAGAAGAAAAGTTGACATAGTTGTTTGGTGAAGAAGGCCATTTGTGAATACTATTATTAGCAAAAGTAGCTGAGTGAGCAGTTATTCCCACTATGCTGTCTATGTAATGGAGAAGCTGATAACTGTGATCAGATTTATTTTTAAATGTGTTTAGAAAGTACATGGTGGGTTTTTGTAATTGACTGAGAATAACAGATCTACTGAGTCTCTTTCCATCTTCAATACTGCTGGTGTCACTCTGAAATACATAGTTAGACATTTCACTAATCCAAATCCTGCATTTTTTGTGCACCTAACAATTAATGGGCTAGGTGCTCAAGGGCAGTCAAAGGAGGTATGCCGATTTACACCACCTGAACATCTGTCCATTGATTTTTAAGGCAAGTTGTCATTGTGAAATGTATTTTCACCTGGGTCCATCACTTGCTAACATTTAAAAAAAATAACCTCTCCGTTAAAGTCTTGTTAACGCTAAGCTTAACTGCCCAAAGAATTTCAGGATTTATGGTGGTCAATAGGGGAAAAAATAAAGGGATTGCACAAGAAATTCCTGTTTCTTCAACTTTCTTTTCCCATATTTTATAAAATCAGTTTAAGTTAATGGCTGAGATGAACACTATAGACGTCTTTTAACTAATCAAATTCCAGATCAGCAATATGTAGTGCCTTCCCCTCTGCCAGTGCTGTGCTTGATACCTGGCCATGGTAGTATAATATTGGTCTCTGACAAGATTATGCTGCTCCATGAATGACTGAGAAAGACATTTGATAGATACCCATGCACCAGTCTTGTTTCCTCTACAGATTGCCAGCTATATTTTGAATTCAATATCCCTAAAAGCTGAGAGTTTCTTGTATTTAAAGCTGCTCTGACAAGTACATATGGTCCCAAATTTTGATCTACTTTGGAACTGTTATAATCTAGTAGGAAATATGCTCTGAGTTCTGATAGAGATATTTTTTAAATTGCCATTGTGAGATAAGAAATGAAAAAGAAAAAAGAAAATAACTATTCTGCATAAGATTGAGCAGTGTGGGCTTTTTGGCTGCCAGCAAGGAAGAGAGGGAGAAGAACCATATTTCAGGCCTATGATGGCAGCAGTGGTGCTAGCACATAAACAAGGAAACAAAATAAATGAAGCCATGTACACTTGAGCTCCATAAGCAGCTTGTTGGGAATGGGGGATGGGAACTTGCTCTTGGCCAACTGAAGAAATAGAACATTTGTAGTGAATGAAGTGTTAATTTCAAGCATCTGCATGGGTATTGCAAACAGTGAAGAGAAAAACTTTCAAAAAGGATAATTGTCTGTCTGTATCAATTTAAGCCTTTTTTGAAAAGTTTTCCGTACATCTTAGGATAGCACAGAGTGACTAATATGCGTGCATACTATCAAATGCTCATTTCCCGGCACAAAACATCATTACATTTGTTACAGGAGTCATGTTCGTACACTTACCAGCCAGGCTGTAGAAAGTGCTGAGGCAGCACTGATTTCTCGTTTTCCTATGCTGAAAGTGTAGTCCTTTTGCCCATGGGAATTACTCGTGCAATATGATTTTCTGTTTATTTGCTGATCCTTAGACTGAAAAAAAAGAAAAGGACCTCTCCTCCAGCGTAAAGAGACTTCACTCTCCTTCCAATCCCAAAACTAGATCACTAGCTCTCTCCCCAGTTTGGTAAGTGAAGTACAGATGCTGGGATTCAGCTATATTAAGCTTTACTTGTTGTGCTCATTGAGTGACTCAGCAACAGAAAACATGTATTAAAATGGCAATTAAAAGACCCCTTAAGCTGGGGTAGAGGAGGGACATTGTCTGGCTTGCTGGGGAAAGGGGCATACTGCTGTAAGGGGGGAGGAAGTAGTGAGGCATGGACACTGCTGCAGAAGTGAAGCAGGACAGCGTGGGGATGCTGACTCCTCCCCCAGGGACTGGAAGGGCTGGGGAGTTGATAAAGGGCAAGCCTGGCGGGAGAAGCCCCCTTACCCCCAGATCAGGTGGAGCAGCACCCACCCTCGGAAGTGACAGAAAATCAGGTTTGGTCAGGATCTGCTGAGGGCAATCACACTAGTCGCTCCTTTCTAGGGGGGCTGGGAAGGAATCTTTCCCTCACCACCAGATTGGCCAAGGTGGAGTGGGAGGGTTCGCCTTCCCCACAGCAGGTTCAGGGAGGGCTTTGTTATGGTGAGTAGGGAAGGGAGTTAGGCTATGATGTTACAACTCATTATGCCAGTATGGATGTCCAGTGAAGCTACTCCGTAGGGAAGAGAGACAGTGACCAGATAAATGGCTTGGTAAAGGATTTAAAGGAGGTATTTGTTAAAGGAACAGAACAGAGGGCGTTCGAGATGCCTATGGCTGGCACAGCAAGGAGCTAATCCTCCCCGCCCTCCCCCCATTTATAGCCCACTTTAACCCTCATTTGAGGAAGGGAATTGTAAGGTCCCAGCAATGGGGTGATTGGGGACCAGGATGGAAAGGGGGGGGCGCTAACGGAAGCTCCCAGTGCAGATATTGAAATGATCATGGAGTTACCTGCACTGTACACCTTTTATCTGCCAGGTAATCCCAGACATCTAATAATAAAATTGCATCCTGGATAAACCATATCCAGTGTCTCCTGTTCTCCTTCCGGGATAGCCAGACAATGAACAAATCTTTAAAAAGGAAAGCGTTCAGTGGTCAGGGATAGGGGAGAAAGGAAGATTATATCCTGTCAGTGCCCTCCTCACAGGTGTGTATTGGGGATTAATTAGTTAATGTTTATAAAGAGTTTTGAAGATTAAGTTCTGTATAACAGCTAAATAATATTATTCTGTCTCAACATGGTTCAGATTTCCTGTTGGTTGGGAGGGAGATCTTGAAGTGATGATTGTTTGTTTGTTTTTGAGCTATTACAGCTTTTATCTATAGAGGGAATAGAAAGGTGCCCAACCTATTGCCGTCATTCTGTTTTGTTTTTTGTTTTTTTGTGGTTGAACAGGCATGCATCCAAGTCCTTGCCTTTTTTGCCTGGCACCCCCAAACAGATAACCTCCCCACCTGGCTCTTCCAAAGTGCCCTCCTCTCAGACGCGCCCTCCCTCCCCTGGCAATATCCGACCGATCAAAAAAGAGTTGAAACCAGATAGTCAGAAAAAAGGACCGGAAAAGGAGCCTGAGAAGGCAGCTGAGGAACAGACAGAAGAGAGTAAAGCAATTTCAGCAAGTGCTGGAGAATCCGCAATCAGGGAAGGTCTTTCTGTCAAATTAGAGCCAGCTCATGGTAAGGATCAGGGATATTTTTGAATCCTTCTCTTTTCCTCTTCCCTTCCCACCAGTTTATTGCATCTTTATCAGTCACAGTACTTCTCCTTCAATAATTGGTTTGTACAGTCCTTCAAAAATTCCTTAGAACGTGTGATACATTATTGATTTCATCCTTTACACACAACTTGCATCTCAAAAATGTGATTCATGGTTGACTCTCATGTCCACATACAACTGCTTTTCCAAGCTCTGTTAAAGTGGAACAACTGTTGCGTGCCACTAATGTTAGAGGGAGTGTCTCATGAAATCATCTCCTGAAGTAACCCAGGCAACGGGAATGTCTAGGTCTGCTAGTGGCTTTTTATTATTTCCCTACTGGAAATTCAGTGTCATGCAAAGATGCATTGCCCAAGGCAGGAAAATGAAATCATAGGGTTGCCCAGTCCTTCATTTTTAATGGTAAGAAATTTGCTGGTAAATTAATCTCTGGAGTATTTTACTGCTGCAGATACAGTTCTATCCAGGTGCAGCAAGACACAACCAAAAATATGTAGGTAGCCATTTAAGTGACAGATACAAGATCATAAGAAAAACAGGATAAATGATGTTTTCTCCATTGACCAGTGGGAGAAGCTGGTGTTCTGTTTCTGCTTGTTGTTTTAAGGGACCATAGTAGTGAATGCTGAAATCTTTCTCAGAAAGCCAGCATAAAACCAGAGGGTAAGCTACATTATATCTCAGTGATATAGGGCCTGGCTGATGAGTGAACAGAAGCAAAGATGCCAACTGTGTTAATTAAACTAGATCTGTACCAATTTAGCCATGCTGGTACCACATGCCCATGGGGGATAAAGGCAGGATAAAGTATAGGTAATGGAATACAGAAGAAAACCCAGGTGGGGAACAAGAGGGAACAAGCAATATAACATGGAATAAATACTCCCGGGGGAATTATGCACCAAAAAAAAAAATTCTGTGCACAAAATTTTCAAATTCTGCATATTTTATTTGTCAAAATAACACAATATAATCACACCGTTTTCAATTATTTTTGGTCATTTATTTCAAAATACCCATCAGCAAGTATGTCTGTAACAATATAGACAACAAACAAGATTCAGAAAATGGTTTTTGACAAATAGATCCCTAACTAGGCATATTAATATGGAACTCTGCATAATAATTCATTTAAATGACAACACAGAACTGTATTTCCCGCACCACCACCATCCCCAAAGCAATGCAAAGGCTGTGGGGAGTCAGGGGTAACAGAGGGGCTGAGGGAGAGGGAAATAATTGCTGGGAAGTAGCCTGGGTGTGAACTTGGAGGGTTGTTGGGAATAAGTGGGAAAAGTATGGAAGAGGTCTTTTTGGGGGGACGGAGAGAGACTGTTAAGGAGCTTCCCCCATGCAGACCCTGGCTGACTCCTAGCCTCTCCTATTCAATCAGGCACGTCTCCGTCATCACCATGTGTCCCTGCACCCCCTCCCTGTTCCCATGTGTCTGTGCCCCCACTCAGACATCCTCTGTCCCTGTGTAGCTCTGCACTTCCTCCCCCATCACCATGTGGCCTTGCACCTCCTTCCCCCTTGTAGCCCTGCGCCTCCACTTGCATTCAGCCCCTGCCCCAGTCTGTTCCCCCCCCCCACTAGCCCTTATGAACCCCTATCTGACCCCCCCAGCACCCCACGCTGTCTGTCTCCCCATAGCCTCTGTCTCCTGATCTGGCCCGCTGCAAAGAAGGCTCTGCAGGGTCTTTCTCTTCTCTAGCTGGCTAGGAGCTGCAGCTGTGTTCTAGCGCCACAGTGTCCTCTGTTGGGCAAAAGGCAGAACTGTGGCATCTTTTCAGCAGAAGCGTTTTTCTGTGCAAAAAAATTAAAATATGCATGGCTCGTTAATTATGTGCTTGTGCAGTGGTGCAGAATTCCCCCAGGAGTAAATACAGCAAGGGATTGCACAACCATCAGTGAGGCAGAGAGGAAAGAAACAGAATGAGATGAGAGGTTGCTGCTGCTTTTCAGAAAAGAAAAGGGGAGGCAAAGAAGGAGAGGTGAAAGAAAAATAAAAGAGAAAATTGAGAAGAAAAAATAATATGGAGATGGAATGTGTGAATCAGTGATAATGAAATGGTGGAAGGGCAGAAGGAAGAAAATACAGCCCTTTGTGATAGTAAATCGTATTTAGGAACAAATAATTGTTGGTATTCCCCTGACACACATTTGATATCCTTATCATTCTAGGAACAGGGATGAAATGGTTGTTATGATCAGTGATATTCTTGTTCTTTGTTATTCTGGATTCTGCATTTAAATAATCAAAGAAATCGACAAGAGGGGAGGGGAGAGAATGCAATAATTTCATCAGAGTGCAGCCAAAACTCAGATCCCTAGGTGATTTGGAGACAGATCCATTGAAAAATGTTTTAAACGTTAGCAACACTGCATGAACCCCTGTACATGCAGCTGGGGTCCACTATTCCTTTAAGAAAGGAGCTGGTCCTTATCTTTTGTTATTATAATTAATAGGTAGCCCGTAGAACCCCAGTCTTGTCTAGGATCCCATTATGCTAGGCACTCTACCGACACATAACAGAAAGACAGTCCCTGTCCCACAGAGCCTATGATCTAAGCATAAGACAAAAGACAACAAATGGACTGTTGGAACAGAAGGAAACGATGAGACAATGCTGATCAGTATGATAAGCAGCTGATGTGCTGAGACCATTCTTGACCTGTTAAGTTTTTTGTAGGCATCATAGCAAAAGAGAATTTTAAGAAAGGATTTGAAGAAGGATCATGACTGAGTTTTGCAGACGTTTACAGGGCGCATGGAGAAAGCATGAAGGTGCTTGTTTGGAAACTGAACAAGATGGTGATGGAGGCTGATGTCCTTGGCTGAGTGGAGACAGGAGTCAATATCTTGATTGCATCTGAGATCATAAGTAAGGTGGGAATAGACCATGAAGGACCTTGAAGGTGAAGACAAGTAGTTTGTGTTTGATGCAGTGGCACAAGGGGAGCAGTGAGAGAAGGGCAGCAGTGGATGTAAGTGGGGTAAGATTGACTTTGTCAGGGCCAGAGAAGAGGATGCAATAGTCATTGAGATGCAAGATGATGAAATCCTGGATAAGGATTTTAGCTGTGTAGATGGAGAACAAGGGCCCTATGTTAGAGAGATTATGCACGAAGAATCACCAGGTTTTGGACACACTTGGATGTGAAGAACTAGAGACGGCCAACTATAACATGATGCTCATGTTATGGGCCTGAGCGATGGTGCAATGGTGGTGGTAGTGGCCATGGTGAGTGGTAGAGGAGGGAAGGAAGAAGAGCTTAAGTGGAATGATTAAGAGCTCTTCTAACCTACTGGGTCACTCACCAGCCAGTACATCAAACAGAGCTCCCAAAAGTGCTCTCTTCAGGGGTCCCTCTCTTCAGGGGTGGGTTTAGTTCTCAGAACCAAAATAGTATAACATAAATCAAACAGATAGACCAGGTCCTTCTGCCCGGCTCCTTTCCTGGCCTTTGCCCAGACTCTGTCTCTGAATGGGCTGCTTGCTGGCCTTTTGTCTAAGGAATATCTGATCCCAGAACTCAAACCTATCACTTGTGAGGTAGCGAATTAATCACAAGTGAGGCTAAGCTCAACTCCCTTAATGAGCTGTCCTGCTCTGTTTTGGCCATGTTGAGTTTAAGCTGGACACCCATGAAGAGATGCCAGAAACACAGGGAAATAATTTAATTTGGACAGGAGGAGAAGAGTCCAGAATGAAGAGGTAGGTCTGTGAGTTGTCAGCATAGAAATGGTAGCTGAATTTGTGTTTGCCCAGGAGATTACCCAGAGGGAAGGTGCAGATAGAGAAGAGAAGGGGCGCAAGGACAGAGCCCCATGGAACAGTCACTGAAAGCAGGAGTGGGCAAGAGGAGAATCCTCCTAATGAGAAGCAGAAGAAGTGATTAGAGAGGTTGGAGGAGATCTGAGAGCCTATCACGGGCTCACCTCAGCCAGTGGAGCATCTTGCAAAGCGAGCTCACCTAGTCCTGCATTGGTCAAATTAATGTTCCACTCAGGGTGATCCACAGGGGCCTTACACTCCAAAGTAAACAAAAGCCTTCCATTGACTTAAGCCAAAGGTTGCAGTCAGAATTAGGCTCTGACCAGGCCTGGCTTCTTGGATTAAGCCAGGGGAAAGACCCTTCCATGGCTGCCCCAGAACTGGCCTTTTTTAATCTGGTCTGCTAGCACTGATTGGCCTCTACCCCTGGCCCTTCAAGCCGCTAAAAGACCAAGTCTCACTAGTTCCACCAGCAGCTGATTCTGAGAGGCTGCTCTAGGCAACCCGTAGAGGTCTGGGCTCACTGCCCTTCTCTTGTTACAGACAGCTTCCTGGGACAGGATGCTCCAAGGCAGTGGGGTCTCTGGAAGCAGGCAGGGAATGCCTAGTTCAATCCATCACAGAGCCTCTCCTTTTTTCATTTACAATGCATCAGTGACATTTAGGAGGAATCAGGCAACAATTCATCACCCCCAAATCCTACAGCCTGGCTGTAGTTTTCCACATCATTGTCAGTCTAACATCTCCCTATACATGTCGCCGGCACTGCCAGAAGCATTACTGCTTGTCTGGGTGAGCTTCCTTCAGTTTGGCTAACAGATTGATAGCAGTCCCTGAATAATGTGTGCCTGGCCTCTAGAGGAAAAAGTTCAATTCATCTTCTCTATAGTTTGTGGGGGAAGTGACAGGTATTCAGAAGCCAGGCAGCCGAACAGAAATGTGAACTAATATTTTATTTAGGAAAAAGTACATTCCAGTAATAAACGTTATATGACACAAACCAGAACTGTCAGTTCTGTCACTGGTTATGTTATGGGACCTCACTGTGTCACAGTTGCCCCTGCAAATTATCCTAAGAAAACTATATTCAAGATCAGACTCAAATGCAGCTTTCAGATTGAGGCAGAATGCACCTAACAAGCATGACGTTGTGTTACAAGGAAGGAGGAGATGGCTTGTGCGTGCAACTGGCCGTAGGTGGACAGTTGACATCAAGGCGGCTACTCACTCAACATTTTTGGAGTGAGCAAAGGAGTAATTAGAATGGGGAACTGGGAGTCCAGACTCCTAGGTTCTACTCCCAGCTCTGTCACTTGCACACTGTGTGAACTTGAGCAAGATACGTGGTGTCCCCATCTGTAAAGTGTGTGTACGATCTGTCATGCAGTGTGTTGAAGATTAGTTAATTAATGGTTGTGAAGCTCTTTAAGATTCTAGAGTGAAATGTGCTAAGAATGTGCCAAGTAATTTTTATGTGGGTAACAGCTGAATAACTGCCAAACTGATGCGGATCGCTGTGCTAACGGGGGCTTTCACAAGACCTCCTTAATTGAAGGGCACTTTCAGAAATAAAGGGCCTGATGGCATTAGCAGAACCCTGGCTGAGGCCCCTGAGACCAGACAGCTGGCCAGAAGGGAGGACACAGTATTGCAAACTGCCCACAACCCCTGCACTGCGATCAGTACACATACAAAAATGGGATCAGCCCAAGCAGGGTCAGGCCACCTGGGAAATGGGCTGATTCAGCAACTCTCCTAGGCTTTTCCCAGCATCAGGGCTCCTGTTGTGCCTGTCTGAGTTTAAAGCTGCTCTCTTCCCTGGCAGAATTCCACCTGAACAGCAACTGCTCCTGTGGGTGCACGGGGGCAAAATTCCCTCCGAAGGAATCTGGACCTCAGGAGCTAATGATTTCCACTTCTTCTCATGTATCCCTATGGGCCTGAAAATATTATATAATCAAAGCTCCCATACTTCAAATTGTATTTCCCATCCTCCTAGGGAGGTTTATTCAATTATACACTGTTGGGGGTCGTTATTTTTGACACAGCATTATATGGATGAATTTTTCCCTTTCTGCCTGTTTCAATAGCTGCTCCAGCTTTGCCCCCTGCTCCACCAGCAACTTCACCATCCCCTGTTTCTAGCAAGGCTTCAGCAGGTACTACTGACCCAGAAGAAGCAACAAGACTGCTTACTGAAAAGAGGCGGCTGGCCCGTGAGCAGCGAGAACGAGAGGAGCAAGAAAGGAAGGAGAGGGAAGAGACTGAAAGGTGACACCCAAATCTGCTCAGTGGAGAGGATACATTTTAGCATCTTGTTGTCATTTTGGTAGCTACCATAGTGTTTAATAAGGAGGGTTCAGAACCAATCCTTAAGGAAAGGAAGCATGAAAATCCAAACTGAAGGAATAATTGTATTGTCAGGATTTGTTTACATGAGTCGCACAAGCCGAAAAATAATGATACTAAAAATCTGAGAAACTTCGTAACACATGTGTCCTATCTGTTCATATGTGCATTTAGTGCTTTAAACAGAGAGAATGAAGGACAGATCCTCAGTTGGTGCAAATCAGCATATCTCCAACTGAAATCACTAAAGCTGTGATGATTTGCACCAGCTGAGGATCCTGCCCATGGCTATCTTCATCCTCAAAGCTATGATAATCATGGGTGGAGAGGCTTCTGCTCAGCCTCTTCCCTTGAGGCCCTGCCCTCGCTCCGCCTCTTCCTGCCCCTGCTCTGCCTTTTTCCCCCGAGGCCCCGCCTTCACTTTGCTGCTCCCTCTTCTCCGCTCCCTCCTCCAAGGCCTCCTGCCCACCACTCGCTCCTCTCCACCCCCTCCCCCTATTGGTCACCCTTAAGGCAGGAAAAAGTAGTGAGGCCCTGGCCCCTCCCTCTTCTGGCACCCCTTAGCTGAGTTGCTCTGGCATCAGCACACACAGCCTCTCACTGGCTGGCCCAGCTGTGGGACGACTCCTCCACATGGCCATGGCCCCATCACTTTTCAGGGCAAGGGATGAGCAGTGGGGAGGGGGAAGAGGCTGAACGGGAAGTGGGGGCAGGCCCCCCCCCCTTCTAGGGAGCTTCCAGTGCTCACGTAAGCCTCCCCAAATGAAAGAGTCACACGCTGCCTATGATATCTATAGCTAGTAGGGTCTTCATGGAAAGTGTTTTTAGATTTCCAATAACTGTGGTTTATAGGCCTTTCCCTTTTTTCATTTAATACCAAAGCTCTCCAGTAATTCTGGATGTAAATGATGCATATCTCACTCTTCCTTTTGCCTTCTCTCACCAACTGAATCACCACTTTGGGCACTAACGCTCACCTCTGTTACATTTCACTCGGAGTCAGAAATCTCATTGTTCTGTCCGGTGCTGCTGTTGCCGTAGCCCAGAATCGCCAACACTCTTACACTTGTGTTTCGTGGTCACAGGCTAAAGAAGGAGGCGTTGTCACAGAAGATCGCTGAAGAGAGAGCTCGCCGGGAGGAGGAGGAGGCTCGCAGGCAAGAGGCGGAGAGAAAGCGAAGGGAGGTAGAGCAGGAGCGAGAAAAGGAAGAAGAGCTACGTCGGCAGGCAGAAGAAAGAGACCAGAAAGAGAAGGAGGAGATGGAGCGCATTCAGAAACAAGTATGCTTCTCCGTGGAGTTTTCATACCAGGCTATGTGGTGGTGATTTGGGTTAATAATCTCCTGGGCAGCTCTAGATTTCCTTTTGGATGTGCAGGTTATATTACAAATTTAAGTGACTTATGGACTGACTCTTGCTTTCATAGATGGGTACAGAACAGCTGGGATGTATTACTCTCCATGGAAAAATCTAGCAGCGGGTGGATCTTTTTCTGTAGGACTTTTGTTTTGTTTTTAATTTAAAATTAGCCCCTTAATATTATGGGCCAAATTCTTGAATTCAGTGGAGTTATACCACAGGAGAATTTGGGCCCTACAGTTTTAACATGCTAGATGTCAAGGTAATTTTACTATTCAGAGTTAGTTCTGGACGCCTATAGGAGAGAAGCTGAGGACTTAGCATAGGAAAGGAAATCCAAAACTCCAGAATTCTAATCCTTACACTGATACGGCCTGTGTGGGGCTCGTGGTTTAGGAACAGATGTTGATACTCTTACTTATGTTGAATAGCACCTTGCCCTTCGAGTAGTGTTATTGAAAGCAGTCAAGAAGGAAGGTACCACTCAAGGTAAGAGTATCACAATTGGGTCTTTGAGCTTTCTGCCTCAGTTTACCATCTGTAGAATGGGGATAATAATGCTGTTTTACCAGCTGCAGTAGGGCTGCTGTGAGGTTAAATTATTTAATATATGCAAAGCACTTAGATTCCTCTTCTATCTAATAGTTATCTAACCCTCATTAGCATGTGGATGCCTCATAAACATTAATGATTTTATCCTCTCAACAAATGTGTAAATTTAGTCTGACTAGAATACACACAAAGCACACACTATATATAGATATAGATAGATAGATATAGCATCGTATTAAAGTAATTAAACTTATAAACTAATGAAGACATTTACCTGAAAATTTTCAGAAAATGTATTCTGTACTCTGAGTACTTGCTGTAAATTGAGGCATATACTCTATAATATTCATATATAAAAAAAGGATGAAACCTCTTTAAGTGCAAATCTCAATGCACCCTTAACTAGGGAACTATTATAGTGCCTCCAATAATACAAGACAGTCTTATCTTATAGAGAAAGCCCTTCAACAGTACCTCCCAAGGGAGCCTTACATTTAATTAAAAAACAGGAAGTGTGCATATGGCTGTTTGTCATTGCTTTTGTTAGCAAGGACAGTGTCTGGAGAATAGGAGGGAATTCTGCTGCTTTCTTTTGACCCTATCAAAAGCATTCATCAGCCCAGTGCATTAGTCTCATGAACACTTTTGCTAGCTGCTAGGTTAGGAAATGCATTTTCATTAGTCATCTTCTGTGCATTCATGCATGCATCATAAAACAGACACAGAACCAAACAAGATTACCAGCTTTTTAATTTACATAAAATTAAGAGAAGAAAGAGGAACACAGACATTAATTAAGAAACCTGCATTTCAGTCTGAAAATTCTGTTGATGACATAACCCCAAAAGTTCCTTGTCAGATTGTTGTAAATTAAAATGTCATACAAAGATAGGCAGATGCCAGTGCGGATCAGCCATTACATTGTGAATAAGTCCTTATTTCTGTTCCTTTCCCATTACTCAGAAAGAAGAAGCAGCTCGCCAGAGTGAAGAGGCAGAGCGCTTTCGGTTAGAGCGTGAAAAGCGTTCCCAAAGAGAAGAACAAGAGCGCTTAGAAAGGAAGAAGGTAACCGAATGCATGCAGGGAATCTTGGTACTGTATATCTCAGCAGTTTGTTTATTTGCATGTGCACTGTAGAAAGACACACATAGTTATTGCTTCAGAAATTCACTAAAGATTGGATCCATGCCCAGTGAAGTTAATGGAAAGACTCCCATTGATTTAATGGGATTTAGATCAAGTCCCAAGAGGTTGGTTTTTTCCTTCGGTAAATGCCAATTTTAATACATTACCAAAGATTATGGGTTTTAGGGTGATTTTTTAAATCAATGTCAATAAACATTTTCCTTCTTTGTAACTTTCTTTGTAGCGACTTGAGGAGATCATGAGAAGAACTAGGCGCACAGAAGCTGTAGATAAGGTATATGCTACATTTCATCATCCATATAAACACCTGGGCATATGTTTCCCTTTTCTCCAGTGCTGCTTTTAATTTACAAAACTGTGTTTCCTTTATAGAAATCTAATGAACAGCAAAATGGAGAGATATCTAAGGCAAATGTTACTGGAGAAACAGGTATGGCATTTGACTCTGCTCTTAGCCCAGAACAAGAAGAAATACATAGCCAAATGAATTGAGGTTGATAGGATTTTGGAATTTTGCAATCCAAGCTAGCTGATATAAATGTCAAGAACACAACGGACTCACTCAGTTTTTGAGTAGATTTTAATTATTTAAAATTTCTAAATGAGAAATTTCTAAGTATTTTTTTTTTTTTAATGTTACCACCGTGAATATTTCCTTTAGAGCTATGTAGCTCAGTGCTTTGCAAGAAAATGTCTGTGTTATCTTCGCTTGTGGGAATGTTCTTTAGAGTGAAAATGAACAAGTTAATTATGATAGTTGTATCAAGTTTGACAGCGCTGATTCTACCATTTTACTGGAGTAGTGTTACAGCTATAAGAGCCTGTTCTCTCAGGGTTTTCCATATTAACCCCTATTTTTAGGATTTTATTTTATCTCGGTCATTAAAACAAATTTGCTCAAGGCTGAAATTTGATATTAGTCATAACACTTAATAGTACTTGTCACTTACATATAATTTCATAGTGCTGAATAAATAATAGTCAATACAGGGTATTAGTAGATATAAAATATCCAAAAGTCATTGCCTGAGCCTATTTAAGTTATTGATTTAGAGCCTATTTGTGACCAATCCCCTCCACCCTCTCTGCCACTGCACAGGGCTTATCCATATTGTGAGTCTGAGTGCAGGGAGAAAAGGGGCTGCTCATGCAATTCAAGGGCTCGGTTTTCTCCTCCTCTCCACACATATGCATCAGCTAGTGAAGTTGGCTGGCTGGGGCGCATTCAGCATCTGATGCACCATATGGCTCCTCCCTTCCCACCATGCAAAGCTGGACCTCCTGAGGAAAGTTGACTTTGAGCAGTGTCCCTGAGTAACAATTCCTTCTGGAGTTGCTCTGACCCAGACCTGAGAGTAAACACTCAGTCTAGTCAATAATAAATAGTAGGTTAATATTTGTAAAGCACGTTGTAAAGATCCACATATGGAAGGTGCAGTCTTAGAGCCAAGTATAATTATTATTAATAAAAATAATAGGGACCTAGGCCCAGATTCCTAAAGGCATTTAGGATTTGCTGCGCTCAGCAGTACAATGCCGAACTGATTGAGGCGTCTCAATCCCCTTTTCAAATGAGATCTAGGCACTTAAGAGTCTAAAATCCTATCGACTGACCTCTAGTGATGAGCCCTCCAGGTCGGGAGTGGAGGCACACTGGTAGAACAATGTGGAGAAGCTTACACTGCCTGTTTTGGGATAAGTTTAGAACTGTCAGATAAACACCTTTCAGTAGCAGTAACCTATTAGGTTTTGATACAGTTGGGTGGGGGCACTATTTCTTAATTTTTGAGGGGTTTTTAGCATGTTTTACTAAGCAAAATGAAAATCACATATATTTATATAAGTCTACAGGAGCCAGAGTTAAGACTGAAAGTTTATCCTCATCTCTCAAAAATTTGCTCTTGGGTTTTACAATCCTTGGTAAGATTATGCACAGCTGCAGGGTTATGGCAGTACCTAGAAGACATGAACTATGTCCCTAATTTCCCCACCACCTGAATATAAAACTAAAAGTTGTAGTTTCTGCTTTTGTAGATTGCAGGTGGGGCAGTTACATATGTCATCCTGTGTGTGTGTGTAGTGAAGACTGAAAACATCACACTCTCTACATGGAAATAAGTTTATGTACAGCACTTACATAGATTCCAAGACTAGAAGGGACCGTTGTAATCATCTAGTCTGACGTCCTGTATAACACAGACCAAAGGTTGAAATTTGCTGCTGTTCAGAAACACGTTTTACATTGGAATTTTGTTTATTCATTTCTGACTGAGTTATATTAAATTGTTAAGATGGAACCCAAATTTGATATGTATTATTACTGATCAAAGCGTTCTTGACTCTACAGGATTTAGGGGGTTTTTTATCCTATTTTCTGGGCAGACTGTCTTTCTTTAAATTTTTGTGGACTTTTTTTTTCTTCTCCTTTCTTCTAGCAACCAGTCCCACATCTCCCTTAGAATCTGTAGTGGCATCTCAGCTTCAGCATGTGACAGAATCACCACACAATGGGGAATCGGTAACCCACTCACAGATAGTCATTTCACATCAACCTACAGTAAATATGGACAGGTGAGAATAGTCATGAGGAATATAAAAAGTTTAGAGGATGAGGGATGTTAAAATAACAGTTTGTTTATACCATTTATTTAATGAAGGAAATTAAAGATAAATATTGTTCTTTTCTCCACTGTTTTTTGTTTTTTCTCCCCAATACTCAGAAAAGGAAGTTTGAACATATTTCACTTAGAAGTGACCTATTTTTATCTGGTTGTAGTGATGAAATTTGTAAAACCATAGCACTCTTACTCTTCGCAATATTATTTGAAAATAAATTTGCTGTTTGCCAGCAAATACTATAGATGTTAAATCTCAAGGGGGAAGGACAATTTTTCTTGTTCATTTCCAAGAATTGAAATATTACTGGCTATGCACACCTGTTACAAAAAATTGCTTTCTAAAGCTATTTTGCATTCACAGCATTAGTTTTCCTGCATGCAGTGTGGAGTGCTTTGCTTTTAGGCTAGTTGTCTTTCTACTCTTCAGAGTGTTAACAAATATTGATCACTTGACAAGTTACTTGATGGCAGTTAGAGAATTATCCTGTGTTGATTAAAAGCATTCATTCCCTGTAAAGGTAGTTTTGTAAGTCGGGCATTTGATGTTGCAGGTCCCTGTAGCCATGGGGCAAGTTGTGCACACTTTGAAAAATTCTGTTGAAATGCTTGAAAACATTTGTATTTAGTCAAGTAAAGGCTGGTGTCCTGTGGGGTTGAGCTGTCAGTTTTTCTCAGTTTCAGTATTTGCTCTTCTCATATTGTATTGCAGAAAATCAAATTACCCCATTGTGAATTCATGTTTTATGCAGCTAGAGCCAAAATATCAATGAAAAATCCGGCAAACAGACTTTAATGGGCAGTATGCTCTGCAGTAAGATTGGCCCTAATTAAAGGAGGAAATCTCAATATCTCTACAAGCCTGAGGGATTCTTCACCTCCTGTCACACTGACAAGGAGGCCCCTCCTGAGAGAAGCTCTGTCAGTGACACTGAACGTTGAACTGTGTTAGATGAACTGCATAAAGCCGTTATTAAGGCAGCTATTAAATTCTAATTATTTCTCAATCTTAAATGCACCTTGATGTTTGTAATATAATATATGCCTTTCTAATAATTGCTGTCATGTAGCATCATATTTAGAGTAGAAAGAACCTCAGAGCAGCCAAGGTAAGGAATGAATAAACATCCATGCAGCTGAAACAACAAAAACAGAAGGAATCTATTACTCTGTATAAAGAAAGGCAGCAACATAGCAGCTTTGGCTGAGTGACTCTGGACATTTACTAAATCTCTGCACTGCACAAGCAAGATTTGGCTCTTGCCGAAACGGTCTTGCACTTGGTTTGAAGGGGGTAGATATGATGGCCCAAATTCTCTTCTCTAGGCAAAATCTGAGTAAGTGGCTTTGCACCGGGGAGTTTCCTGAAGGGTTCCTAGGGGATGGAGTCATTCTCTCAGCCCAGGGAGTAACAATGAGAATTCTCCTCAGTTGCTAATATAACCCTTGGCCTCCACAGCTGCCTCCCCTTCTCTGCAAGAGGTTCACCGTTTAACTGATGGCTCATCTGCACAGTTGTGTATCCACTGACCACACCTCCCGTGGTTCACTCCCAATATACCCTTCCTTGCTCTGCTTAATGGTGCTTAAACCTCAAGTGCAACACATCCTGTCTCTCCCCATTCAATGCCTCTGGTATTAGTTGGGTCAGTACCCCAAGGAGGGACTCAGGGATGGGATTTGGCCTTTATAAATCGGATGGTTTTAAATATTAGTAGAGGTTTGGGTTCCTGGGTACTGAGCTGTGGAAGTTCTCCAGTTTGCCATTGGAGCCCAGGTCAAGAATCATGGAGCATTTGTGGGGCAGAGTAGGTTGGTTGATCTGCCCCTCTGATCTGTGCCCTCCCCCACCCACTCACAGGAGCACCCAGCTTACTCAGGCTGTGTGCTGGGACCAAGGCTCCAGTGAAAGCCCTGCTTCCATGTTAATAGATACAAAGTAATAGAAAAATAAAAGGAATACTAGCAGAAAAAGGCAGTTGACTTTTGTTGTTGTTGTTGCTGTTTCTTTTAATTAACTGTGCTGATCTTGTTATCCTGCTAGGACTTCATTATCCCTGGAAGATCGATAGTCTTTCTAAGCCCTAATGAAAATGCTATGGTGTGCTGTAGCTTGATTATACTGTATATTAATTAATCAGTAATTATTACTAATAGATAATAGCTCTAATTTCTCAGAGGGGTAGCTGTGTTAGTCTGAATCTGTAAAAAGCAACAGAGGGTCCTGTGGC